CATCCTGCATATCAGATATTTACATTATGATTCATAACAGTAGCAAAATTACAGTTATGAAGTAGCAACGAAAATAATTTTATGGTTGGGGTCACAACATGAGGAACTGTATTTAAAGGGCCAGAAGGTTGAGAACCACTGCTATATAACGACAGCGTAAATGTAGTTTGAGTTCTGCTCTTTCATTTAACATGATATCATAAGCATTTTCTGTGTTGTGACAGTTTTTGTTATCATTTTTTTAAAAATATATTTTATTGATTTTTTACAGAGAGGAAGGGAGAGGGATAGAGAGTTAGAAACATGGATGAGAGAGAAACATCAATCAGCTGCCCCCTGCACACACCCTACTGGGGATGTGCCCGCAACCAAGGTACATGCCCTTGACCGGAATCGAACCTGGGACCCTTCAGTCCACAGGCTGACGCTCTATCCACTGAGCCAAACCGGTTAGGGCTGTTATCATTTTTGATGCCTTTATATTTTATTGAGTATATATCTAATCATTTATTTAGCCAGTTATCTATCACTGGACATTTATTTTGTTTGATGTCTTTTCAGTTTTTCACTCACACTGTGCATAGCTTTTTCTTATTTTAGGTTATTTTCTTGGAATTCATCGATCAAAAAGTGTGAATATTTTTTATTGTAAAAATGCTCTGGGGAAGGGACGTACTAATAATGTTATCAGCCACATATGAGCATTTCAGACCTACCACGCCTAGACAGCACTCAATATTATCATTTTCAAACTGTCAGCTAATATCAGAGCATTGAACATGGCCTTGTTGTTGTTCCCATTTGCTTAGGAGAAATTTCCCAGACTGAACTATAGGAAAGTCTCTGCTTTTCCTCAGCAACTGGTATGCGTCTATCTTATAGATACAGGGACTCTTGTAACTTTATTGCATTCTCTTCTTTGCTTGGGTTAGGAGGAGACTCAGAACCCAAATCACAACCCACTTTTAACCAAAGAGAAAAATCCCCTGCCCCCCCCCACCCCAGTTTATATGCTTCCAGTATTTACCCTCAGTCTCTGTTGGCATTTCTCTATCTGTCCATCACTGTAGCTTTGTGAACAGCTGCAAATCTCAGCTCTGGAACCAGTCATGTGATGTGAGTCTGGAGGGCTTACTTGGCCAGAGGTTCAGAGTGGCCCTCGGTGCTGGGGCCACGAGATCCTGTGGCCTTAGACTGCCTAACGCAAGCATGTCAAACTCAAAGGCCAACACGGGCCAAATAAACAAAGTTTAAGCTTATGTGGGCCGCAAAAAAACAAAAGCCTCAATTTTCATAGAAACATAGGTTTATTTCGATAGAGACATGCTGAATACAAAGGGCTGAAATAAATGAGTCATCGTTAACATAAAATAATAGAACATTTTAATAAAAATTAATCTTTTTTCTTGAACATTAACTTACCAGACACTGAATAACTGCACCAAAAAAAGCGTAACGCAAATAAACCTATTTTTCTTGTTCTTTGAAAGCAAAATATTTCTTGTTGCGCACACCAAACAAGTCAGTCCAAGACTAATGACGTGGCAGTTGGCTGCTAATATATTCGCTGCCAGTATTAGTGGAAAGAAATGGTGCGCCTGTGCGGAAGGCACGCAAGGGAAATGAATGCAACACGATTATAGTAATCAGTCATTAGCGAACATTGTAGTCCGTTAATAATTATGTATAATAGAATATTATAAAAATTAAGTTACAAAATGTTTATTAAAACGTTTCTGGGCCGCAATAATATTCGTTGTAGGCCGCATGTGGCCCGTACGCGGGTTTGACATGCTTGGCCTAACAGGACTGAGTGCTGGAGAGCCCTGCCGCTGGCCCTGGTCAGACCCCCTTCTCAATACACTGCATTTTCCTCGGGTCCCAACCACAAGAGGGGCATACTAGTAGACATCGTGAGAAGCCCAGGTCCTTAGCTTACAGAGGTTAGGGTTGAAGAAACCAGGCGTATGTTGCCTACAAAAGTGACACCATTAAAGAATTCAGAGAATCATCGCATGATTTTCTTAATATCCCCGCTGTGAGAGAACATTTTTGAAGCCCTTTTTACCTTCAAAAGTGGTCTCTGATGTGATCTTACTAGATTCGCTAACCTTTCCTGTGGGGAATGCAGATTTTTTTTTTACCCATTATTGAGGCATTACTAAGTTCCAGGCACTGTTGCAAATTATTTACATACATTTACTTTATTCAATTTTCACAAAAATTCTCTAAGGTTGGGGTTATTAGTCCCATTTTACAAATGAGGAAACTGAGCCGTTTGAGTGTTAAATCACTTGCCCAAGGGGCGTCCTGCTAACCAAAGGCTGAGCTGGGATCTGATGCAGGTGGCCCAGCCCCAGCACCTTCGCTCAGGACCTGCACCATCCTGCCTGCCCACAGACACCAGCGCTGGGAACCCAAAGACCAGGCCAAGGCCCTTATGGGTGTTTTCACCTTGCCCGACGGCCCCTCCTCCCAGGCTTCTGGCAGATCTGTGTGGCTGTCCTGGGCAGCAGCAGTTCCCTTCCTCCACTCTGCAGACGACTAGTGATATCCTAGCGCAGCAAATAAGGATCCAGCTCTTTGCATGTGCTAAGCCCTGCACCAGGTCCCTGCACTCATGGAGCTTTCGGTCTACTGAGGGTCGGGTGGGGTGAGGAGACATAAAGCAGGGCCGCATGATAGCCAGGGGCTGCTGTGCCACTCTGCATGGCTGGTCGGAGAAGGCCACTGGGCCGAGGGCCCTCACCCAGAGGCCCGCGTAATACAAGAGAAGGAGCCCATCTGGGATGGACAGTTGCGTGAGATTCAATGTGGGCACGGGGAACTGTGGTGCCAAGGCCCCCAGTGGGGAGCAAGCCTGGTTGTGTTTCGGGAATAGGGGGCAAAAAAGCCAGTGTGTCTGGGCCCTGGTGAGTAAGGGTGAGAGTGGGAGGATGAGGGCCAGGAGGTGAGCAGGGACCAGGTTACAGAGGCTGGGGTGGGCTTTACTTCCGGTGGATGGAAGCCATTGGGGTGCTTTAAGCAGGGGAGTGACAAGTTCTGGGTCCACGGTTCTCTCCCTACATTGTGAGTAGGAGGGGTGAAGCACAGAGTGCCAAGAGCTAGAGCCCCACTATCACTCAAGTGCTCCCCCCTCCCCGACCCTGGTCGCCTTCTTGGGGCCCAGGGGGCTCCTGATAAGTCACTGCAGCCAGCGATACCTGCGAGGCCTGTTTTCCTCCCTTCCTGAGATTGCTGATTGTGAAACCCAGTCCCTGTGCTCCCAGCTCTTCCCGCGGTAACTGATTCTTGTGTTGCCTTACAGATCATAAGGCAGCAGTTTCCCCAGTTAACCACCAGAAGACTCGGGACCCGCGGACAGTCCAAGTAAGCACCGGAGCCCTTCCGCCGGAGGCCCCCCACCCCAGGTCGAGCGAGCTGCCTGAAGGCCTGGCGGGAAGCCTGTGTCTGGCCATGGCACAGGGCAAGGGTGGTGAGGCGGGGAGGGAGGATGGTGAGGGGCGGGGAGGTGGTTTAAGACAGCAGGGCCCTCTCTCCCAGCACCCCTGAGAGAGGCTGTCCAAAGCCCAGGACCATCTGGGCCTGCGAAGGAATCCAGCTTTTTGCCACCCTGCCCTTAGGCATTTGTGTAAAATCGTCTTGAGCATTATTTACAGGAGCACCTTGTAGCTTCTTGGTCAGCCTCCAGGTTTACCTGGATTGTTTCACTGAGCAAACTCTCTGCTCTCATAGCATCCAGCCGGCCAGAGGAGCAACCTGCCCCAGTAAACTTGAGGGGGAGAAGGGGGACAGGTGTACCCACACTGTGTGCACAGGGCATACGGCTTACGTTTCAGCAGTCCGTGAGCCAACCAACCACTGTTTGCTTCTCGCTTCCTGTGTCAGAGAGAGGGCGCTGCGTGCCGGAAGCACAGGAGCAGACAGGACTGCCTTCATGGAGCATATGTTCCCGTAGGGGAGACCGACAGGAAAAAGACAATTTGGTTGCAAAAAGAGGGTTGTCCTAGCGCAGTGGTAGGCAAACCGCGGCTCGCGAGCCACATGCGGCTCTTTGGCCCCTTGAGTGTGGCTCTTCCACAAAATACCACGTGCGGGCGCACACGTACAGTGCGAAGTTGACTTAAAACTTTAAGTAAAGTTTATTAAGTTAATTTTAGGGAATGTTGTGGAGTGAAAGAAGATGTAGTGTTGAGGATTGAGAAAGGTATGTTGAGATGGTTTGGACATATAGAGAGGATGAACGAAAGGAGATAGACGAAACAAGTATACAAGACGAGTGTGGATGGGAGAGTTGGAAGGGGTCGACCTCAGCGAACGTACCTCAATCAGATTGGGGACTTTTTTAGCAAAGGACAGCTTAGGAGTACCCTAATTAAGTTAATAACAATCTACCTACCTATATAGTTTAAGTTTACAAAATTTGGCTCTCAAAAGAAATTTCAATCGTTGTACTGTTGATATTTGGCTCTGTTGACTGAGTTTGCCGATCACTGTCCTAGCGAATAACAGCGGGGGAGTGGCCCAGGACAGCCTTTCCAAGGAGGTGCCCTGAGGAGCGAGAGGGATGGGTGGACACCTGCCGACCAGCTGTGAGCCAATGGGAAGGGAACCTCTACCCATACTGCTCAGGCTTCACTAAAATCTGCAGTTATAAAACTTGCCTCACAGAGTGTTCAAAAATTGCTGGACATCGGTAACTGGTCCACGGAAAGGGTGTGAGGGCCATGTAAGTTTGGTAAGCGCTGAGTTTTGAACAGATTCCTGGAGGCAGGACTTCTCAGAACCTTTATTATGCTAATGCACATGGTGACTCCACTAGAGGGTGCCTTATTATGCAACATTTCTAAACATTTTGACATGTTAAGTTGCAGGTCAGCACATAGTGACTTAGAAAATACTGAAAATTTTTTCAATAAAAACCACCACAGAAGACTCATAAGACTTGTGACCAAGGGTGATCCAAAAGCAGCGTGTCCAGTGCTGCCCCCACCCCCAACCGCCCCCCCCACACACACACACTCCTGCCAATCCTCCCAGTGTGGGCTTAGCTTTGGGGCCAAGTTAAAGAAAGTGGATGATCAAACTGGGAAAACCCGTTTTTTGCTAAAGTCCTGAAAACACCGAGACTGATTTATTTGTGGGGCTCAGAAGCTCTGGGGGTGATGTCCAAGGAGATGTACAGAACAGTTTTTGGCCAGGGACGTTTTGGAATAAATTTTGCATAATCTTCCATGGTGACTACTCTGGAGAACAAATCCTGTTTATAGTGAGAAATTCCAGGGTCTGTTTTAGAATAAGGCTTCAGCCTTGGTAGGGGTACAGAGTACAAGAGCCGCATTCTCCCTTTCTTGTTTGCCGGTTGGCACCAAAGGGCAGTTTGAGAACCACTGCTGTGGTGGTTAGTTGAACAGATAGACAGTGGGTGGATGGAAGACAGCTGAGTGTGTGGAAATGAATTCTTTTTCTTCTGCTCCTGGTCTGAGGAGAGTCATTGGCTCCAATACATTGTTGCCCATTTCTAAGAGTAGAAATAGACAGTGAAGCTAGAACAGGAAGCTTTCCCGTCTCCATACCCTTGGAGGAAGTTTCCCTCTGTCTACATGTGAGAGCCTGGGTGTTTTTTGTTTGTTTGTTTGTTTTTCTTTAACCTCAAGGTTGGCAAATTGGGCAACACTTCTTTTAAAATTCCACGTGATTTATTTTATAGTTTCCTCTCCATAAGGATCCTCCAAGGTTGGTCACACCTCCAACCATTTGAAAGGTAATAAGAAGCTCTAGTCTCCAATCTTCTGGTTGGTTTTATTAAAAAAAAAAAAAATCCCTCTGCAAGTGTACCTGGGCAGCATAAAGGGGCTGGGGCTGCGGGTGGGGATGACCAGGGAGGGTTGTTGACCTGCCCTACAAAACTGAAATATATAGGAAAATTCAGAAGCCATCAGAGCTATAGCTTCCTGTCGTTGTGGATTTCAGCAGTACACACTCTGAAAAATCAAGCAACGGTCTGGTCTGATCTGAATTGTTGCTGCTCTCTCGGTCTTAAGAAGTTATGGAGGGGAGCTCTGTAAGCTGGGGAGGCCGTCATAACTGCCTTCCCCCTGAAGGGCACTCGGAATGGAACGGCCCCTCCCCCTCCCGCTGGGCTGGGGGGGGGCGGTGGCAGGAAGGGCAGTTATGACAGTTGGGAAGTAGAAGGCGCAGGAGGCAGATCGGCTCCACACTGAGAGAGCTTTCTGGGAACTATCCGGACCTAAAATGAACTGGGCTCCCTTGGGAGGGCCTGGGTACCTCATCCCAGGAGGCATTCAGATAGAGGCGAGATGCCCACTAAGCAGAAATATGACAGAATGGTACCTGGAGGAACGGGGGTTTGAGGGTGGGGGTGGGGGGGTTATGTGTGCTTGTCTCTCCTCCCTGTGACGCCTGGGCCATAACTCAGAATGCTTTCTCCTTTGTGTTGTGTTGTGACTACCCAACCGGCCTTCTGTGGGTGGAAAGGAATCGTTACTATGTTGCCGTGTTTCTGAAAGCTAGATGGGCATTGCTGTGTGATTGTGAAAATCTCCTCTCCGAGTCTCTGGGGTGGGGCCCAGGAGTCTGCACTTTAATATGTTGTGTAGGGGATTCTTGCTGTTGGTGAAGCTTGAGAACCACTGGCCGGGCGATTAAAAACCCTTTGGAGGTTCAAATCCTGCCTCTCATGCTTACGGGGTGATCTTGGTGTGTTATTTAAATTCTCTGGGCCTCTGGGTTCCTCGTCTGTATAGGGGGATGATCATTAGTTCCAGCCTCACGGGGTTTTGTGAGATTAAACAAGGAATGTGCGTGTAAAGCACTTAGCACCCTCTGAGCCGCTGTGGTGGGCACCCCGTGTACAGTAGCAGAGAGCGACAGTCCCTCCGGGGTTGGGGAGCACAGAGCCGGAGTGTCATGCAGGTGCTTCCCCGGCAGGCTGGCCGCCCCTAACTGACCGCCGTCAGGGCTGCCTGTGACGCTGTGTCAGTGCTGGTCGTGGGCCCCATCCCATGCTTCAGATCCGTCGGTCTGGGAAGGGGCCCAGGACGCTGCACTTTTTCATTACGCTCCATGAATGGCTGTGACAAACATCCAGGTTTATAATTCCCCGCGCAGTGTTCCTGGCGAGGGCTCTGTGGTGGGACGGACCTGTGTGCGAGACCCAGATCCCCGAAGCAGCCGTGTAGCCTTGAGCAGACTAAGCTTTCTTGCCTCCATTTCCCATCTGTAAAAAGACTGTCATAGCTCCCATTTCATAGTATAGTTTTACAAATTAATGTACAGAAAGCACTTACCAAAGTGCCTAGCACAGAGCAAGTGCTCAACAGGTTGTAGCTAAAATCTTAAAAGCCTCCTTCCATTAGGCTTAATGGGAAATACTGCTGTCAGTAAACCCATTTTGAGTTCATAGAAAGTTCCGGTGTTTGCTTTACATTCAGTGTCAGCAGAAGCACTGAATTTATCTGTTTAAAGGTACAGTTCTTTATGGCCACCATCCATTAAGGAAAGCAGGCCCAGTGAGTTTCTGTTGGTGGTTTGCAGCCATAAACCCACCTTCTTCGTGGGTCTTCATAGAGGGGGAGACCCACATGCCCTGTCCCTGGGTCACACTTGGCTCAATAGGAGAGATTAAGTACAAATGGAAATTTTTTTTTCATCCCCCTTTCTGCTTTGCAAAGTATTTGACTTAACATTTTCTGTGGGAGGCAATTTTGGTTATTTTTACCTGCGTGATTGATGGCTGGCAACATGGAACTCTGGTTAAATTCCAGACTTCAGAGATGTCAAGCCTCACCAGAGAGTTAGCGCTTCTGGCCCAGGGAGGACGGGCCCTGTCGCCCGTGGCCTTGGGCACCCCTGCTCAGGAAGTGCCACCTGGTAATGTGCCTGGGCTTTCTCTCTCTCCCTGCGGCCCAGGTACCACTACTACGGCATTGCTGTGAAGGAGAGCTCCCAGTATTATGACGTGATGTATTCCAAGAAAGGAGCCGCCTGGGTGAGCGAGACGGGCAAGAAAGAAGTGAGCAAGCAGACGGTGGCATATTCACCCCGGTCCAAACTTGGAACGTTGCTGCCGGAGTTTCCAAATGTCAAAGATCTCAATCTGCCAGCCAGTCTGCCCGAGGAGAAGGTGACCATGTCCGAAGGGTTCGGGGGAGGGTGGTTTATTGCTCTCTTTCTCACACAACACACACACAACACACACACATACACACACGCACACTTAAACTGCAAAATGGTGAGTTTAAAAATACAAAGCTAGAAATCTGAATCAAGCATGGACTTTCACTGATAGTAATGTATCAGTTCGTTAGTTATGACAAATGCCCCATATTAATGTGAGATGTTAACAATAGAGATAACTGGGTGTGGGGTTATAATATGGGAACTCCCTGCACTATCTTCAAAACTTTACTACAGATCTATTATTATCCTAAAAGAAAAAATTTAACTACCTACAACCTACCCACCTACCAACCAACCTACCCACCCATCTCTGAGTTACATGGCCTCCTGCCCTCTCCTCTAATGGCTTTGTTATAAAGCTTATTTTCCTGTGTGCTGCCCAGGATAAGGTGAAATCATAGTTCCGTAGACAAGATTTTCTAGGTATAGCGATTCATTTTGGGCCATAGGGTACCTGGAGGAAGTTATTGGAAACACAAATCTGGGGACTTTTCCCTGGGTCGTCACGGGTTGCACGCACCTATCCTGGTGCAGCCCGTGCGCCAATAGGTGCGGAGCTCCTGCTGTCCCCACGTGACGCTGGGAGCTGGGGTGGCGGTGGATGAGGCAGGAGGCCTGCTCACAGTCGAGCAGGGAGCCAGATGATTGCAAAGCAAACTACGTTTATATTAAGCACATGTCTGCAAGAAAAAGAATGCAAAGAATACTTTCCATCTAAGAACTAGATAAATCCTTATTGTTTCTCAAATGTGCTTTTTTTTCTCCACAGACTTCTTACACCATAGCTTTGAAATTTTTGGATAAGGAGATGGGAGAGAAAATTCTTTTGCTAAGCAGATTCCAGAGGATTGCCAATGTCTCCCTGATTGTGGCAAAAGCACCTCTTATAATACACTCTGGGTTTTAACTTTTCACTCTCTCAACTGATGAGGGGAGTTTAATTCATAAGCCCTGCTGAGCTCTCCTATGTGCCAGGCGCTGTGTGAAATGCTGGATAAAAAAGCACGAATAATGTGCCATTTTATTCTCCCAGAGCCCACAGTTTCATGGGGTGAGAATGGGGACAGAGAGTGCAGCCTGTGTTTTCCATACCAAAAGTCAGTGTTCTGATAGAGAATCACTCCGCACAGCAGGTGCTGTCTGAGGGTCAGCGAGCATCACCTAAGGAAAGCGAGTCTCTGTGGGGTCTTGCAGGATGAGTAAGAGTTAGGTGAACTTCATCCCCTCAACAGGGAATAAGTGAGTTGAAAATTGAAATTCCAAGGGCAGCAGTAACATGTACTAAAGCATCCCGTTCTTGTTGATCCCTCCCCCCACAGGTTTCTACCTTTATTATGATGTACAGAACACACTGTCAGAGAATACTGGACACTGTGATAAGAGCCAACTTTGATGAGGTAGGTCAACAAGCGCCTGTGTTAAAATACAATAAAACGACTCCTGGTTCATGAGCTGCTGCTCGGTGCCTGACCTGGAAGCCCCTGATGCACATTGTCAGCTCACTTAATCCTCACAGTGATCCTAGGAACCGGGCACCGTTGCTGTCCCCACTTCATAGACCTTCTGTGTGGCTAGCGGGTGGTGTGGGCTTTTCCCAGTCTAACCAGTGAGCTGCATCCTGCCTGATTGGCCTGCGAGGAAGACAGTTTTGTCAGGGTAGCATTACATCCAGAATTACAGATTCAGGGAAGCTGGAGGAAAGCATTTCTGTATTTTGGATTTAATTTCTCCTGAGGCGCGTCCACTGCGGCGCATTTGGAGTTGGCTACCGGTCCCCTCCATTCTCAATATGGCCCACATATGTATCAAAGCCCGCCAGTAGGGGACTGAAAGAGTTAATTCAGGAAACGAACTACCTAGATTTTTTAAAAATATATTTTTATTGATTTCAGAGAGGAAGGGAAAGGGAGAGAGAGAGATAGAAACATCAATGATGAGAGAGAACCATGGATCAGCTGCCTCCTGCACGCCCCCCCCACCCCTTACTGGGGATCGAGCCGGCAACCTGGGCATGTGCCCTTGTCTGGAATCGAACTTGGGACCCCTCAGTCCGCAGTTTGACGCTCTGTCCACTGAGCCAAACCAGATAGGGCAGGAAACTAACTTTAAATAACCACTTTCAATTATTTGCCTCTGATTACTTCACCTCTTATGCTTGCAAAGAGTCAGAACTTCTTCCTTCTGTCTAATAATAAGTTTCCACTTGTTAAATGCCTACATGATCCAGGCATTTTATAGAAGGGATGTGATTTCATCCTAACAATAGATAGACACTGTCATCTCCATTTTATAAAAGCTGGTAACTCTCATCTCATATACTCAGTCCTGAGCTCCAGGTTCAATTGGAATCTAAGTTAACGGCCAACTTTCTGCCCCAAATTTGCTCTCCAAGTCTTAGCTTACCACCGCCATCCACCCAGTCACTCGGGCCACAAACCTCGATTCTTCTCTTTCCCTCACTCTTCATGCCCAGTCTGTCGGGAAGTCCTGTCGGCTCTACCTCCAGATACAAACACTGTCTGTCCATTTCACACCCAACTTCCAAGTGTCAGCTCCTAAGCTCTGCACTGTTCCCTCTCCCTCCTTTTTCCTCTCACTCTGAGGAGCCAGTACCTTTGGACATTAAATGGTCTAACATGCACAGAGCAGGAAGGGAGGTCTGGGTAAAACACCCCCTACAAAGGCGGCTCCAGAGAAGGAGTGCTGCTCAGGGCCCCCGTGCCTCTCGAACAGATGCCGCAACAGACACTGGTTTTCCACAGATTTGTTTTACACACGCAGCCACCGGTCTTTACAGAATTTCTGCTGGAAATTGACTGCTCATATACTGAAAGACTAGGGCTGCATGCAAGGAACACCTGGAAAGGCAAATGAATTCAGAATGTACCAGATCTTAGGAATCAACCGGGCTGAGCTTCCTCCTTGGAGTTGGAAGGGCAGGCAGAGGCTCAGGACTCAGCCTGAGACCAGTGCCCGGCGGGGGGTAGGGGGGGCGCGTGTCAGGGGACAGCAGGGGATCCTCTGGAGGGCAAGCACCTTGTGCACGCAATGTGGCCATCTCTCAGGCCCAGACAGAACAACCGCCAGCCACCAGGTGTCCCAATGACAGGTGAGCGGAGCCACAGTGAGGATTCTGGCTGGCCGACATTCAGATTTAGGCAAGGGTGTGCCAAATGCTTAGGATGGAACACTGATTTCTTAGGCCTAGTAGTGCCTCCATGATATAATAGTAAGAGCTAACCTTTATTAAGCATCTAGGACATGCCACGCACTATAATAAGTACTTTTAAGGAATCATTACCAAAACCTATACGGTAAATACTACTTCTATTCCCATTTTCCAGTGAGGAAACTCGGGTGTAGAGATATCACACCCTGGTTGGTAGTGGTGCTAGGACTGGAACCCTGACAGGCAATCTTCACCCATCTGCACTGTCGTAGTTTTAATGTTCAGTCTGGATGAAAACTTTGCCATATTTTCACTGTCATGGAATTAACAAAACTATGACTAGAGTTTCACAGTTTACAAACCTGACTGCATCCACCACTTTGATCATGTTTTTGGCAACTACCATTTTCCCTGTAGGAAGTCAGGGACATGCTTTTCTCCCCATTCCTTGCCCCCGGAGCCTCCCACACAGTGTCGACACTGGGAAGTCCAGGCAGGCCGTGGATGTCGGAGAAGTGAGAGCAGGTCGCCAGGCTGGGGTCGGGGGAGCCTGGTGAGGAGAAAGCAAGACCCACTCCTTGGAGGGGCCTGAAGGACGCTGCAGGTCACCAGGGCAGGGGCAGGAAGCAGGGAAGGGGGCAGTCTCAGGAATGGGGGAGAAGCCCACTTACCATGTGAAGAACAAGGCAGCCACAAGAGACAGGCAGACAGGGGCTCTATGTCACCCATTGCCTGGCTTGCTATCTGGCTTTGGACAAGTAGGTGAATGTCTCTGCAAAATGGGAGTGATGAGTCTCGCTGTAATAGTGTTATGAGTATTAAATGAGAGAACCTATGCAAAGTATCTGGCATATAGTAGGCACTCAGTAAATAAAGCTAATGCCAGTAAGGGTACCACCTCCAAAGTACTGGGCTGGGGCACTGCATTTTCCCCTGCATTGGTTCAGGACAGATAGGGGAGCCAGGGATGTGGATAATGTCGTGGGTGGGAGAGCGCCCCTGTGGAGGAAGGAAGGATACAATAGTCCAGGAGCCAAATGGAACCCATGAGATCACAAAAGTTCAGTTATTCCCCCACTTCAAGATGAACCATCCCCCAATGTTGGCTAAAGTCTACTCTGGTAGACATTTTTACATGTTATTATATGTACAGGTTAACCATCTTCTACCATGTCCCTTCACTCACCTTATCTTGTTCCACCCCTCTCCCCGCTACTCTGCTCTCTCCCTGACCTCCAAGTCACACACTAAAAAGACAGGTGTCAGGGCCATCGGGGGTTCTCTGGAAGTTCACTCAACCATTTGTTCATCAGCAACTCAGCTTGCGTTCCTGCTGTCATATTAATAATACCTCCACATTTGAGTGCTACTATGTTCCTGATCTGTGCAATGCAGCTTACTGCCCAGATATCAGCGTCTAGCATCCTATAATGGCACCACCCGGCAGGGCTCTTTGGGGAAAGGGAGGCATTTGGATAGGAAGAAATCCTTGCACTTTACCCAGTTCGAGGCTCACAGGTTTGAGTCAGGAGATTTTTGTTGGTAGCACCTACTCTCTTCCCTTCCAGACTTATTCCTCTTACTAGCAACTCATGGCCCTGGGGTACAGATAAGCCCATAGAACAGTAATTCTAGTAATCTGAGCTTTTAAAAAACAATACCCCACCTTCCCTTCCTTAAATTCTCCCCAGACCACAGTGAGCACGAAGGGGTGAGGGGTTAAGGAGCTAGTCCTCTCCCAGGGCAGAATGGACCCAGGCTGCCAGGCCACACACATGGGCAAGGAGGACCTTCCGGGCCTCCTGAGCCACACCAGGCTGGCGTGGCCGTGGCCGTGGCCGTGGCCGAGTCCCAGGCCTCTGTTGGGAGGGCCCAGTGTGTCCTCATGGATCTTCTCTCTGTGGGTCGATACAGGTTCAAAGTTTCCTTCTGCACTTTTGGCAAGGGATGCCGCCCCACATGCTGCCCGTGCTGGGCTCCTCCACGGTGGTGAACATCGTCGGCGTGTGTGACTCCATCCTCTACAAAGCGATCTCGGGAGTGCTGATGCCCACCGTGCTGCAGGCATTACCCGACAGGTGGGCACACTTCTCATCTCCCCTCAGGCTGGTCCCCAGCATTTACTGCTCCTGCTTCTCTTTATTGGGTTCTAATCATGCACTGTCTGGGGCCTTCCTTGTTGAGAAAATCTCTAACACAAAGCCATAAAAGGAAAACCCAATGGTAACAGTAAGCACCATTAACATTCGTGGTTTTTTTTAAATTAAAATTTAAAAATGGTTAAAAATTCAAAGTGTATAATATGGTATACAGTGAAGAGTCCCCCCTCCCCCTCTCTTTTTCTCCAGAAACCAGGTTCCCTGCCCAGAGCATCATTATTTTCTTTAATGTGTTGCAGGATTTTATTTGTTAATGTTTTATTTAGGTTTTCTGCATCAAAAGTCATAAATAAGATTGGTCTGCATTTTCTTTTTGTGTTTAATCTTTGTCAGTTGTTGGTATCATTGTTTTTTGTTTTTTTGTTTTGTTTTTGTTTTCATTTTTGTTTTTGCTTCATAAAAGGAATCTGGAAGTTTCCTGTCCCCTTTTTCCTAAAGTCTAAACCAGTTTAAATTGTATTGAAATTACTTGCTCTTGAAGATCGCATAGAATTAATTCCCTTTTGAAGCCATCCGGGCCTGGTGTTTTATGGGGGTAAATCTTCAAAAACTTTATTCTTTTTTTTTATATAATAAGTGCTCAGTTTAGATTTTCTGTTTTCTCTGAGGCAAGTTTTGGTAAATTATATTGTCCTAGAAAATTATCCATTTATTCCAGATCTTTAAATTAATTTGCTTAGGGTTGAGCAAAGTGGGTTTGTGCACTCACTGAATTTCCTCTGTGTCTGGTTATTTCTGCTTTACTATATTTTAGTTTGTGTGGTTGTGCTTTCTGCCATTTCTTTGTAGTTAGCTCACCTAATTTTATTATTTCAAGAAAAAAACCTTTTGGATATACTTATTGATGCTATTATTTTTTCTAATATATTAATATCTGCTTTATTTTACTAACTCGCTCCTTTCCTTTCTTAAGTTTACTGTTATTCATTTACTCAACAAATACTATGTGCCTGTTCCAGTTCTAGGAGCTTCAGTTCTATTAGTCACACACCCCTCAAAATTAACCAAAAAATAGATGCCTGATTTATTTACACTTTTTACCCTTGTTTTATAGCATTAAGTATTTCAGGCTTAGATTTTTCTTTGAGCACTGTTTTAACTGTATGCCATAGGTTTTGAGATGTAATATTTTAATAATTGTTCTTTTCCTAAATATATTGGTTTGGAGTTCTTCTGTGGCCTAAGAATTTAAAAAGAGCATTTAAAATTTTCCAATTGTTAGGAGCTAGTGTTTTCTGGTTGTTATTTTCCCTTTTATTGCTTTGTGATTAGAGACTTTCTAAACTATCTCTTTGAGACTTAATTTAGGTTTCCCCTGTTGTCTAACATATGGTCATTTTGTTACACTTGAAAAGAAGGGGCACTGTGTCTTCAAGGTACCACTTCCACATTTATGTATTTGGACCAAGTTTGTTGTTGTTTAGTTCTGAGACGTCTTCCCACTTAGAAGTTGAATAAAAGTGGCAACAGTAGGCACCCTTGCCTTCTTTCTGATCTTAGAGGAAAAGCTTTCAGCTTTTTACCATTGAGTGTGATGTTAGCTGTGGGTTTGTCATAAATGTCCTTTATTATGGTGAGCTATGTTCCCTCTATATCCACTTTGTTGAGAGTTTTTATCATGGATATTGAGTTTTTTTTCAAATGCTTTTTCTCCATCTATTGAAATGATCATGTGATTTTTATCCCTCATTTTGTTGATGTGTTATATCACGTTGATTGATGTGGGGGTATTGAACCCCATCCTGGCATCCCTGGCACTTGATCATGGTATATGATTCTTTTAATGCACTGTTGAATTCGGTGGGCTAATACTTTGTTGAGAATTTTTGCATCATGCTCATCAGGAATATTGGCCTATAATTTTCCTTTCTTGTAGTGTCTTTGTCTATTTTAGGTATCAGAGTAATGTTGGCCTCGTAGAATGAGTTTGGAAGCATTCCTTTGTTTTCAGTTTTTTGGAACAATTAGAAAAGAATAGGTATTAATTTTCCTTTAAATGTTTGGTAGGATTTGCCTGTGAAGCCATCTGGTTCTGGGCTTTTGTTTTATTTAGTTCCTTCCTTCTACTAACTTTGGGCTTTATTTGTTCTGTTTTGTATTTCTTTAGGCACAATCATAGTTATTTTAAATTCCCTGTTTGATAGTCTGGTTCCATAGATTGCTTTATCTCTTGGGAGTGGGTTGTGGTTCTTAATTTTTTGTGTATCTTACAATTTTATATTGACTGCCAAACAGTATGTGGAGCAGTACAAACTGAGGTAAGTAGTATGTATGCCTGGAAATGAGCATGCCTTTTCTTCTCCAAGGCTCTTAATGTGAGGAAGTGAGCCAGGTTATTCAGGAGTTCACTGGGGTTGGGTTTTACTGTTGCTATGGTTACCTTTCGTATCCCAGCAGATTTAAATTCTTTTGGAGTGCTTGTGCTTAGGTTGGAAGTTTGTTTGTTGAGGGGGGTTTTTCAATGTTACTGCTACATCCTCAGCATTAGGTCTCCCGTGTACCACTACTACACTTGTGAGCCTGTTTGGGGATGGGGTGAGGGCGGGGTTCTCTGTTATCCTGACTCAGTCTCAAGTAAGCCTGTGGTTTTGGCAATCAGAGTTGGGCATTTTCAGTGATCATATCCCACTCCAGAGATAAATCTCTAGTAGTTTGAGCCCATGATGGTTTCTGCCAAGGTTAGAAAGCTTTTCCTTTCCTTCCTCCCCTCCCCGGCCACCTGCAGTGAGTCTCTCCCGGCACCCAGGCCAACAGTATTTCCTGCCCTTCCCCTGGCCACTGGAGGCTTTTGTTCATAGGGAGGGTGGTCTGAGTAGGGCTGCATGCTTCTCTACAGCAGTGGCTGCTCCCCTCTTCCAAGCTGCTCCTCAGAGGTGGGCTTCCTCCTTCTCCTCTCCTGCCCCAGTTCTTTGTGAGCACCTGGCTGGGCCCACGGAGAAGACCTTGTAAATAGATGTGAATGTGAATGTCCTTTGCCTCTGTGGCTCCCAGAGCTCCATGTACTCACGCTACTTCACACTCGGCCTTTAGCTATTTAAGCTGAATTCTTCCTTGGCTATGGGATGTCCTCCTTTCCTCCCTCTAACACAGATGAGCCAGCTCCCAAGTCCTGTCTTTCCACAAATTCCAGGCTAGGTGGTTGTGACCTCAGCTCTTTGATGGGTTAACAGAAAAATAGGATTTTATAGATTATCTGGCTTTTTCTTATTATGGTGGGAGTGATGCTCTTTCCCATTTTCCACATTCTAGGTAGAACAGCAACACACCTAAATAGGCCAATAAAGGTTGCCTCCAGGTGGGATTGTGGTCCAACTTTAGTGTCGTGCTTTTATGCATTTTTCAAGTGTTCTACCTTAAGACTGAATTATTTTTATAATCATATGTCTAAGCGTATGCATGTACCAAATTATATATATATATATATGTATATGTGTGTGTTTAATGAATGAATGAATATTTGAGTCCTGTGCACATGCGTGCACGCACACACACACACACACAGGCCCCTTTAGGTTTTGAGTTATTAAATTCTTGTACATTGATCAAGTGAATTAGATAATAACTAAATCTCTGTCTCCATTTTTCTAAGAAGGAACCTCCTGCAGGATCTGTATAAGTATACACATCTTTATAAGAGAGCTTCACATGCTGCTAATACTGCTTATAGGTGCTGTACACACAAGGCATTTATGGTTTATTATAAAGCAGTGCATGGGGTACAAACAAAAGACTAACCCCTGCCTCCTCCTCTGTAATTGTCTTGTTTTTATAGAAGTGAGCGTTGAAGCTTAAGAGCTGAAATCACTTGTCCATCTTCATCTGCAAATAAATGAAACAGCCAGAACTCAATATTCATTCATTCATTAAACAAATGTGTATTGATTACTACACTGTGCTAGGTCCTGGAATGCAGCATTAAAGAAGATAAACATGCACCCTGCCCTCACTGAGCTTACAGTCTGCCAGAGGAGACAGTTCTTCAGAATTACGTAGTTAATTACCAAATGACCTTTGGCTTAGAAATCCAGTGCCTTTTCCATTAAATCAGGAAGACAAAGTTATTGAAAAGACCAGCTGACTTTTCAGTTGTTTATATTCATTTGTCCCTCACTTCTTTGCATGCCTTCTGTGTGCCTGGCCCTGTGCCAGGCCAGGGGTGGAATGGGAATCAGGTCTAGCAGTTCTCACAGCCCTCCTTGCCCAGGCTGGGGTGCGGCTGCCCAGACCATCCGCCCCTTCCTTCCCTGCTCTGCAAAGCATATTGAAATATGCTTTCTGGTGAATAAGTGACAACATAATAGAGATAACCATGAATCATGCACTCTTATTTGCAAGAAAGATAGATCATTCTCAAACTTGGGCTTTTCACCTCTGTGAGCTCTCAAGGGGAGCTGGCACAATGGTTGTTAATAACCATTGGTCTAGCAGATGTAGGGAAGCATGTTTGGGTGTAGGGGCTTGGGGATGGATGGGCAAGAAGGATAAGGTATCAGTGAAGCAAAGAGAAGACTGAAATTCTAAGCAATAGCCAGGCCCGTGGCCGAAAAGCAGCAGGAGGCCCTGGTCTGGATGCGGGGAGTCCAGCATCTCAGGTGCGTGCGCAGTGTGGGTGTTTCCATCACCCAGCCTGCAGCCAGGCTGCGCTGAGCTTAAATCTCGGCTCTTGCACTTATTGCTGCATCTCCTTGGCAAATAAAATAACTTATCTGAGCCTCAGTTTCTCACCTCCCTGCTGGGAATAACAATCACACCTACTTGTTGGGGAGGGGTAAGTAAGAAAATGCGTGTGAAGTGTTTAGTGCTTGTCACCTTGCACTCATTAAAAAGTGGCTGCTATTAGCACGCTTTGCTGTTGTACCAGCATCACTGCTGGAGGTCATTCAGGCAGTTTCAAGTGTGGAGCTAAGATGCAGGGGAAGGGCGGAAGATGTGGGAGCATCTGCAGGAAAGGGAGGGGAAGGAAAGGGATTATGCACCCCTGTGCCTGTGCCTGTGCCTGTGCCTGTGCCTAGCAGAGTGCCTGATACAGAGGAAGTGCTAAATAAACGTTGAAGACTGAGTGAACCCAAAGCCCTGCATGTGCTGGGCGGGCCCTGGGAGAGCCAGCCTGGGGAGGAAGAAAGGGGAGGGAGTGGCCCAGGAGGGAGGCAGGATAAGTCAGCAGAGGAAAATCAGGCTGCAGCGAGTGTACTGTGGGAGGAGGTATGTCAAGAATCGGTGTGGTCCTCATCCCCTGATGTTACAGGAAGGAGGAGTGGGTGGGGAGGCATCTCTCAGACCAGGTGATGAGGGGAGGACAGCTCCTTGGACCCCCTACCCCCATCAGGGCAGCCTCAATGTTTAGGTTACTCAAAGTCCTGCAGCCCCACGTCTGAGTCCCAAAATAGAAACTTTTCCAGGCAGAACTCCCCTTGCCTTTCTTCAGCTTAAGCCAATCAATTGCACCAAGTGAAAGGCCCCATCAGCAATCCTGCTGCTTACTTGCTGCTCCCAGACAAAGGCCAGCTCCCCGCTCCAGCCGCGAGTAATCCTCCTGGATATGTGTCATGGACGGAGAATGGCAATGTCCCCACCAGTCCAGCAGCCGCAGGAGGGTCACTCTGGACACTTCTCTAGATTCTGACCTCCGTTAAGAGCAGCCAAATGTTCTGAGATTTAATCTCAGAAGTCGGATCCAAGTGCTACTAACTGATACTGGTTTAGAAGCTTTGCTTTGTTACAAGTGCAGGGCTTTGGGTCCACTCAGTCTTCAACATTTATTCAGCACTTCCTCTGTGCCAGGCACTCTGCTAGGCACAGGGGTGCATAATCCCTTTCCTTTCAGGAAGACATACTTGACTTCCTTCTTCCCTCACACACCCACATCCACTCACCGGAAATCCTGTTGGCTCTGCCTTCAAAATATTTGAATCTGACCATATCACATTATTTCCACTGGTACCACCCTCGTCCTCCCTCTTGCCCGGACTCTTGCAGTAACTCTGCACAGCTCTCCCTGTCTGTCCTCGCTCTCCTACAATTGATTTGCAGCACAGAAGCCAAAAGAATCTTTAAAACATATGGAAGGATTGAGAGTGTTGAGATGGTGGGGAGAGCTGGGAAGCTGGTAAGGAAGGGAGCCAGGCTGCTATCTGGGGCAGCAGCTTTCCAGGCAGAGGCAGAGGGAGAGGGAGCAGCAAGTGCAAAGGGCCTGGTGAGGCTGGCAGGGGCTTGGAGACACAGAGAGGGGGCTAGTGCCAGTGGGAATCAGGGGAACTGCGGGGAGGGGCTGAAATCAGAGAGATAAAGGGGAGCATTTGGGTAGGGCCTTGTGGGGAATACATCTGAGCTCGGTGCATGGTGGGGTTGGGAGCCATTAATCCATTTGTTTCACTTAACATTTCTTATGTGCCTACTAGGTGCCTGGCACTCTGCCAGGTGCTGAGGCTACTGTGGCGCACACAGTCCAGTGGGAAAGATGGACATTAATCAGATAATCGCACAAGTGAGTGCATGATGACGAGCTGTCACAGCTCAGGGCCCGTCCAGAGGAATCCTTGGGGGCTCTGACCCAGTGACGGGGCTTCAGGGAAGGCTTTCCTGTGGAAGTAACACCTGGTCTGAGATCCGATGGAGGAAGGGGAGCTGAGTAGGTAAGGAGGGGTGGGATGAAAGGTTGCCAAGGGCACAGGCCCCGAGGTGGCAAAGACTGGGCAGAGGCCTGTGGGGCTGAAATGTGGATGAAGGGAGGAACCGCACAGTGAGGCTGGAGTGGGAAACAAGGCTAGAGTGTGAGCTTTGGGTGTGAGGATGTTGGTTTTCAAGCAGAGGTGAAACAGATCAGGATTGCAAGTGCTTTGGCACAATCCCTCTGACTGAAAGATGGGGTGGAAGTGGGAAGGTGAGCAGGGCAGGGAGGCCCAGGTGAAGGATGAGGACAGCTTGAAGTGGGAGAAACCTGGAGGGGGCTGAGAGGTAACTTGAAGATAAAATCTGTAATGCCTGGCAGTGAGAAGAGAGACTATTTGAGTCTCACACTAGTTGCACTAAAAGAGGAACAACCAGATATTATAAGCTTCATAATGTGATGCAGTGGGCAGCCACCTATGAAGCTTTTTATGCCTAAAAGAAAAAAAAATCATAACTGAACTTAAGTCTTTAGACCTAATTGCCACTTTATAGAAAGCACACAGGATAGGTGAACAGGTTAAATGCACCACGAGGAAGAAATCAGAATGTGGGGCATTCCAGGGAATAAATAACATGAGGGCGCCCATAAACCAATGGCATGAAATAAACTTTTAAAGAGACTTAAGAAATAGAACAAGGCAATGTTATCTTTTTTATACAATGTGTGGACTTTGTTTGGATCCAGATGCTAACAAACTAGAAGATTTATTTAAGAGAAATTTGAGTACAGACTGGACTTTAGATAATCTTAAAGAATTACTGTTCATTCTGTTAGGTATACTAATAGCATGGTGATAAATTAAAATGACAAACTGTTTGCTAATTATTGAAGCTAGGTCATAGATATTTGGAGGTTTATTATGCTATTCTCTTTATCCTGGGGTATATTTGAAATTTTTTTAATAATAAATAAAGTTAAAAACAAAGTTCATGGAAAGTAGAATCTCCACGAAGTAGGGAATACAAGAAAAGAACCAGCTCTGACGGGGAAATGATGAGTTCAGTTTGCATATGTTGAGTTGGATGTGCCTTTGGGACTTCTAAATGGAGGGGTCCTGAGTCCTGCAGACCTCTGCTTTGGAGATATCACGGTGACTGTAGATGGTGACTGATGCTGTGGGCATGGAGACTGATTCCCAGGGCAGGAATCCAGAGGGAGGAGAGGGCCCAGGTCTAGTCTTGAAAGAACTGGAAGACATAACGGCCAGGTAGAGGGGGCTGAGCTTTGTGATTGAGGGGGAGGAGCCAGAAGACAGAGGGTCACAAGTGCCAAGGGAAGCAAATGTGTCCAACAGGAGGAAGGGCTAACAGAGCCGAATGCTGCTAAGATGTCAAGCAAGATGAGAACCAAAATGAGTCCATTGGGTTTGAGTCAGGGATGGAGGTTGCTCTCTGGGTGAGGGACAGGAGTGAACAGGAGATGACAAAAGGGAGACAGAATCTAGACAACTTTGAAGAAGTATGTCTGTGAAGAAGAAGAAGAAGAAAGAGGGTCGTAGCTTGAGGAGTGAAGAAATGAGAGGGTTTTTTTGTTTTGTTTTGAAGACGAGCCAATGTTGGAGCACTAAAATGTAGAGAGGAATGACCCAGGACAGAGGAAGAGGTGGAGCATAGGGTAGAAGCGGCAGTCCGTAATGTGAGATTCCTGAGAAGGCAGGAGGGGATGAGCTAGGGGATTGGCTCTTTGATTCTATCAAGAAATAGGAGGTGGTGAGACCTGCTGGTAAAGAGTGGGAAGTAGGCGGATTGGAGGTGTGAGAGTCTTGGGAGAAGGTAGGACTTTGTCATGGAAAAAGGAAAGAATGTATGAGCAGAAAAACATGGTAGGACTGCCCAGTGGGGAGGAGGTTGGTGATCATGGTGGGACAGGAGAGTCGGTGGGAGACTGAACAGGGTAGTGTTGGTGGAAGGCAAGGATGGTTGTATGTCAGTGTGGGGAGAGGTCCCTGTGGCCCGCATGACTAAGGAGGACTACATGGAGGACACTGGAGTGAGGGCTGTGTGCAGGTGGGATCCTGAAAATGGTGCTCAATGTCTTTTCAACTCCAAATTTCCATCTCACATTGTAACCTACTGCCCTTCCCCGACCTTTCACCCCTCCAGCCCCCTCCCACCTCCTGCTCCAAAAAAATCCTGAACTTTCCAAATCTGATATGAGTTCAAGGTCCATGTCAGGATTGTTTGCAAGTTAACAATACGCTGTTGCTTCCTAGTCCTTTCCAAGCAGCAAGCAGTTCAGTAAGCCTGGGCCCAAGCCGGGTGGGCAGGCATGCCCATATGCTGCCAGGGTTCCTGTCCGACTGGGGGGCTGGGACAAGCTGGGCAGCATGAGGAGGAGAGGCCAATTGCAAATCGGTGCTCGGAGGCCCACTGGCCACTGTCTTCACCCCTTATACCAGGTTCTACAGAAACACGGAGGATGATGTTTTGCTTGCAGAAAGTTCTGATGGCTGCCCAGCCTTGCACGGTGCCTGCAGGGTCTCCTTGTCCACCGGCACTGGCACAGAGCACATTCTGCTCATGCCCTTCTCAGACCCACCAGCTCTGCAGAGCGGGGCTGCCAGCCTCGCCTCTGAGGTTGCTGCTACGAGTGGCACCTGTTGGTTGCAGTCTGGTGGAAGGACTGGGCCACACACGAGGCACTTAAAATGTATCCTTCCTCTTTCTAGCTTAACTCAGGTGATCCGGAAGTTTGCTAAGCAGCTGGATGAGTGGCTAAAAGTGGCTCTTCACGACCTCCCAGAAAACCTGCGAAACATCAAGTTTGAACGTAAGTGCTGAATTTGGGAGTGGAGGGGAAGGGGGAAAGCAGTTTTGTGCCAAACATCTTACATAAAATAATAACAACAATAGCTTCCATTTACTGTGCATTACTACAAAGCACCAAGTATTATGCTTAGCACTTTCCATACATTAACTTGTTTAATCCTCACAAAATGTTTCTTACGGGTGGTACACCTGCTTTCATAGAAAAGGCAACAGGCTTAGGGGGGTAGTAAGTAGCAGGGGCAGGATTGCTCCCAGATCTGTCTCCCAGAGCAGAAACACCAGAGTTTCTGCTCATCACCTCCATGGTCCTTCTCTCACTCATTCTTATGCCACCTCTTCGGTGTAGGACACAGTGTTGCTGTTCACAGATGGGGCTTCAAGATGCAGTGAAAAGTCCCCAAAGCCACACAGCCAGCCAGTCACTAGGGGTCCAGAGTCCAACTCCCGTCTGTCTAGCCCCCAGACCCGGAAATTCCCCTGAGTGCCTGCCCACAAATGAAACTGGTCGCAGGAGACAGAAAACAGCGTGGGTCTCACATATTTAATGGCCTGCCTAATGAGCAAGCCAAATTAATATTTCTCATAGGGGTTGGGACTGCGAATCTTCTCTCTGCTGAACGGCACCCTCACTCCACAGCGTTGTTTTTGCCTGAGGAAACTGGTCCAATTTCTGTCCTGATGTGTCTGCACTAGTGGGAAGACTCACTATTAAACAAAGACGAAATGATTTCAAGCAAATCAAAGTTTTAAGATATATGTTTCTTAAAACCGCATTTGAATACAACCTGCCTTTCTTGCCCTAAATCGGTGCCCCCAGTAAAAGGAAGGAGATCAAATTACCTCTCTCCGCAGGCAGAGGGGCCCTTTCAGCGGCTCTGAGGCCGCCTGCGGTGCCCATCACCTACTGATAAAGCCCACTTTATTTCACGGCTCTCAGTTCTTTTCTTTCCCCCAGCACTAAATTCCACATCACAAAGTTAAAGAAAAAGTAATTAAGGAGAAGGATTAACGATTGATCAGCCTGGAAAATTAGAAGTTCTTCTGTCCCCTTCCCCCCGCCCCCATTCCTCCACCCCACGCCTTATTTTTCAAACCAAGCTGGCTCCAAGTCCAAATTACAATAATCCCAGGGCCACTTCTGATTGTTTCTTGACCAGTTCAGAAATTAATGAGAAGAATGCCCATGCCCGTTTTAATTACGCTGACAAAACAAACTTGTTGAAAGTTGGCAGTGAGGAGCTTTTGGGACCTTCCACCTGTGGGTGCCTGGGGACACCCACTCTTCCCAGGGAGCCTTGGGGTGCACCTTGAAAATGGGCAAGGAGTGGAAACACACACCACTCCAAATGATGGTAAGAATGAAGACCCTGGGCAGGCACGTGGCTTGTCTGCTTAAGAATTCACGGAACAGGACCACACCACTTCAAATCATTGGCCCACTGTGTCACCATAGGACACAGAACCATCAGAACACGCCTTGGGTCATGGAGCTCATTCGCTAAAAGGGACAGATGACCAAGGCAAAGCCATGTTCAAGGAGCAGCTCGGGGTTCCATCGTCGGAGCCACCCCTAGCAGCTCACACCCCCGAGGCTCACTCAGGGCTTCCTATTAGACAGACTGCATTGTAAAGGACCTTCTTCAAAGCTCCCACTTGATTCTTGCAATTATTTATGGGGAGTAGGGATTGAGCCTGCAATTAGCTAAATGAAAGACAAGTAAATAATTGCTTTTACTCACGGTTGATTGACACCACGATTTCTCACACCTGCTAGTGTGACTTTGAAACATATGCCCCAAATATCGCCATTTTAGGAAATAGTTGTCCAAATGGGAAAACAAAGACTCAAACGCTGGGTTTCCAGTGGGCTTCTAAAATGAGTTGGACAGTGAGACAAATTTAGGTAAATAAGAAAGTTACTTTTTGAAATCTGCCCCTGGAAAATCTGAAGCAGGACCATAAAGCCTGCAAATATTTCAAACTGCCTCTTTTCTTCTTTCAGTGTCCAGAAGGTTTTCCCAAATTCTGAGACGGCAGACTTCACTAAATCATCTCTGCCAGGTATGTGTCCTGCGCTGTGTTCTAACGACTGCTGAGTCATTACAAATGAGGGCAGATCCACAGACCAGCTGCCCATGGGATGTCGGGGTGCAGCTGTTACCTTTAGTTTCTACATACAAGGAATAAAAACATTAGCCAATCACTAAATAGCTTCAACTAACAAAATGATGTCTGACATTAGTTGCCCCTTAACCTGTTCTAGGGTCTCAAGTTTGTTTTCCTTCTGTAAATTGGGGTTTCTCTGACACTGGATAATTCTTTGCTGTGAGAAGTTGTTTTGGGCATTGTAGGTATTTAGTAGCATCCCTGCCTTCTACCCACCTGATGCCAGCCAGTAGCACCCCCTCTCCAGCCCCCAAGTCCCACCTGGATGTCACAGTCAGGAATGTCCCCCGGCCCTGCAGTGTAGCCTGGGCAGGGTATGCCTGGTTGTGAGCCACTGAAATGGGTGATCCAAACAGATATGGAGGATGACTTATGTGTTGTTTTTGTGTCATCCAAAAGAGTTCAAAGCCACGAGGCATGTTAAATATTTAGCCAATTTTATTTGTTCTTCTAGATTTCTGTTCTTTGGAGCACAAAAGTGACATATGCTTACCATTTACAAAGTTCAAAAATAGCAAAAGTGTAGCACAGTAAAAAGTGGAAGATTCTACTATAACTCCATACTTATAACTGATGGCATAAAGCTTTGCATTTTTATTAATTTTGCACCTTAAGGAAGGGACTGTGAGTCGCCCGTTACCATTCATTCATTAACATATTAATGATCTAAAAGCAGAGGGAGCAAGCTGGTGGCTGCAGGTCAAATCAGCCCTCATATGTGTGGGGTTATTTTTACTTGATTTGCATGTGTTCAAAGACATTTTTTTACTCAGCCACCAATAATTGAAACTTGTAGATGACAGCTGAGCACCCAAATTTTCTGTAGAAAAACGTTAAGAGCTGGCACTCTCAGCACTACACCTCCCCAGGGCTGTGATCAGCTGGGCGGGCTGAGCACCTCTCCAACGGCACTGTCCTCGTCTCCCCACCTTCTCGTCCACTGACCCCTCGCGCATGTGTCACCTGCCTGCTTTCTGTGTTTGGGTTTGCAACCCCCCCTTAGAGTGTTGGTTCTGGGTTGGTGCCAGCTATTGAAGGTCAAGGTGGGAGGGAGGGCTTTGGAGTTAGAGTGCCTGAGGCAGGCTCCAGGCCGGGAACCAGAACGGGTAAAACTGCACCCACACACCTCCCTGTTCCTGCTCTGCCCCTGGCATGAACAGCACAGGGAGGGATTTGGAGATCAGAGGGAAACCCTTCCACGTTCCTGTAGGCAGGTACAGAGGCCACACTGGACATTGTCCTGGGACGTGGCAGAGCCTGACAGATGAATGGGATTCAGTGAAGAAAATAATATTGGCAAATGAAAGACACACTGCCATGTTTCCCAGGGAGCGTGCCTCTGGTCATATCAGGGAACTAGACATGGTCTTGGTGCATACCTGGACTTCAAAAAGTTTAGGAAAGCCTTTGGCCCTCTCTACTGCACAGGTAGGTAAAAGCACCTACACTTACGTGTAAGGGTGCGTGTGCGCGCGCGCGCACTCACACTTCCTCTCTACTTTCCATGCTGACATATGTAATTTAATCAGCAAATGCTACCTTTCCATCTCACTATCAGACACGGTCCTGGATCAGCCAGAAGACTGGGGTTGGTGCTAAGAACATTTCGTGGAACGTCTTAGTATTCCAGCGAGCTTTCCTAAACACACACGGCAAGTCAGACTACACAGCACCCGACCAAAAACACACCCCTCCCCCCCCAGTACTTACACCTGAGATCTAAATATCCAGACCCTTTTGGATATACTGAGCAAGCAAATTGACATTCATATCTCAGCCATTCACTCCACAAAATCTTTTTGAGTGCCTACTGTGTGCCAGGCATTATGTATGCTCAGTGGTATTTGCCCTCAGCAGACAAAAAAAGTCAATGAAAAAATAATCCAAAGTGGTTAAGTGCTATGAAGGAAACATAATGGAAAGAGAGAATGATGGGGCATTGAGGTCCTGCTGAGATCAAGTGATTAGAGAAAGCCTCTCCATGGAGTGACAGCTAAGTTGGAGTGTACGTAATGGGAGGGTTGCTGGACGGGCAGGGTGAGAGAAGGACGGCACACTGACCCCGTGCAAAGGCCCTGAGGTGTCATTGCAATCACTACAAAGAGAACCTGAATAGCAGTCGCCTCTTCCATCCAGCTCTTACTCCTTGAACTTTGCCCTCTTCGAACATAACCTTAATAAATCCTCGACAGCATTCCTCCATGAGAGGCAGGTCCTATGACACGTCCATTTTATAGACCAGGAAACTGAGGTTGTTCCACGTGCCTGCCCCAAGTCCCTCAGCTGATCAGCAGCGAGGCCAGGATTTGAACTAAGTATATTTGTATGTGGAATCCCAGACCTCCACATTTGGTGGTTTTCATTACCATTAGAGACTGACTCAGTTCACATACTCAATATTCAGGCCTCTGTGACCTTCGGAGTTCTACGATGATCCAAGCTAGCTTTTACTTGAGTTCAGACAGTCCGGGTGTAAAGGTTGTTGTTAGTATTTACCTTTGCCTGGAAATTCACAAGCATTAGGAGACATATAATGTCCATGTGTATTTGAAATTATATATATATTTACATTTTACTAAAGACTCCTTTGAAAACATGCAAGTAAAGGAAATGTTTTTCTTTGCTTTTATCAATATTGTTCTGACTTGGTGGTTCCAAGTATTAGTGATCCAAGTGTTGTTTCAACCTGCAAATCTAAGTTCTACCAATGAGGGTTTGCTGAGACAGCTACAACTTACACACACACACACACACACACACACACACACACACACCCATAAACTACCAAGTCTTAAGGTCTAATTTCCCTTTTACTCCATCTTAATTATATTTGTTGTAATCATTACAGTTACATGAAAAACAGAAAGCAAAATCAGAAAGCTAGACTACAAACTGCGTCAGAATGCACTCACATGTAAACACACACAAACTGAAAGGTTCCTGGGTCAGAGCTGTGGTGGGCCCGGGCAGCAGGACCGTGCCTGCTCCAGGACTGGCACTTCTTGGGCGAGGGAGACATAGAGCTCCCGTCCCACAGGCTGGCATCAGAGAGCTGGCAGGTCTCCGGGCCCCGTCCCATTGTTCCACGGGGTCAAGACCACGGGGCTGGGAACAGCATGGTTGGGTCTGGCCTAGGCCACCATGAGGTCGTTTTTTAGCAAGAAAAGGAGGTCTGTGTGAGAGAGCCTCAGAGAAAAAGGGTACGGATCTTGAGTTATGGACTCACCTACTTATTTGCTAAAACTATTTTCCTGAATTTCAAAGTAGTTTGCACAATACCCTTGGCAGATTCCTTTAAAAGGCTTAAAGGAAATAAAGTGAAGGGGTTCTCCCCTGACAACCCCTGAGCTAAGGAGCTGGCTGGATTGGATTACAGGCCTCTCGAACGGTGATCCACAGCGCGGACATCACATTCCAGATGCTGGAAGACTGGAGGAACGTGGACCTCAACAGCATCACCAAGCAAACCCTGTACACCATGGAGGACTCCCACGAGGAGCACCGCAAACTCATCATCCAGCGTAAGACGGTCTACCAGGGTCATGTCATTTTGATTTTTTTTTTAAGAGAAAGTATCTTGGGAGATACTTGGGAGAAAATATCTTGGGAGATAGTCATGCCTGGGAATGCTCTGCATACTTTAAATTAAAAAGTGCATGCTGGGACTTGAGCGTGCTGGTGGGAATGAGTAAGTGCTGCTCTGGTAAGAGCATGGGCTTGGGGTGCCCAACAGACTTTGACTCAACCCCTGGCTCTCGTGCATGGTGACTTGGCTTCCGAATCTGTAAAATGGGGGTAATGCAGAGGGATTAATTGGGACAGTGTGTGTCCTGTGCCTGGTGCACAATGTAGTGCTGGTAGATGAGGTGGTTAGAGGGCAAGCACTCAAGTCAGGCCGTGTTTTAAACTTGCCTCTGCCATTCACTATCTCTGCAACCTTTAGAAAGTTGTGTATTCCATAGTGCCTCCGTCTCCTCATTTGTAAAGGAGGGTAAGCGTAGCACCTAACTCCTTGAGCTGCTCATTCATTCATATTCAACAAACACTTGAGCACAGAAGGCACTTGAGCAATTGCTCCGTACCACGTACCGTTCTAGGCTCTGACATACACATTCTAGGGATGGTCTAAGGTTAATGTGTCCACGTACAGCACTTAGAGGAGTGCCTGGCACATGGCAAGCAGTGGATAACCGTTAGCAGTTAGCACTCACTGCCACCACCAGCAGCTCAGATGCCCAGAGAGTGGGACGAAGGGCGAAAAAACACAACGAGAAACTCAGAGACCTGTTTCCAGTCCCTGCTCTGTCCCTAACTTCGAGTGGATCATGTCACCTCATTAAGACCTAGCTTCCTCATCTGTAATATGAGGCGGGTCAACTAACCAGACTTTTAAAGCCCCTGCTCATTCTGCAATGTTAGGACCGTCCGGTAGTCCAGGAAGCTGACCTTGTTAGGGGCTATCAACTAAGTAAAGTGGGACAACCAGCCATTCCAGAGAAATGGGGAAATAAAACCGCTCAGACAAGTGAAAACTACAGACATGTGGATCTTGAATTGTGGTTTGATTTACAAAAAACAAAATAAAACACACACAAAAAGTAATGAAAAGAGACGTTTCAGATTGGAGACCACCGCAGAGATGTTTGTTTCCTCAGTGCTCCTCTGCTTGCAGAGTACTTCCCAATCCATGATCGAACTTGCAGCTGAAACCAGGGGGGAAGGGGTTCGATGATCCACCTTTTCCTGATGCAGAACTGAGGGCACAGCAATTGCTTCCTTTAATGCAAAAATATTTATTAAGCATCTACTACTTAGGTAGCGGAAGCTGGTCAGGCTACTGCCCAGTATGGTTGTGGTTTAAAAACATTTGAATGATCAAATGTGCCCTATCACAGGGCACCGAGCAAGAGAGCAACAGCGCTGCTGTCCACTCAGGCCAGCCAGCACCCACGGGTAACAACTGCATCACAGGTCATGCACCAGCTAACGAAGACAGTGGACAAAAACGCACGCATAGCCCTGACTGGTTTGGCTCAGTGGATAGAGCGTCAGCTTGCGGACTGAAGGGTCCCAGGTTCGATTCCTGTCAAGGGCATGTACCTTGGTTGCGGGCACATCCCCAGTAAAGGGTGTGCAGGAGGCAGCTGATCGATGATTCTCTCTCATCGATGTTTCTAACTCTATTCCTCTCCCTTCCTGTCTGTAAAAAAGTAATAAAATTTATTTTTAAAAAAACAACGCACGCATGCACACACACACTCACCACAACACAGTATTATGAGTGATATACTGAAGGCAAAATACAAAAAGTAAAATGCTATGAATATATAGAGGGGCGTGGTCAGTGCTGGTAAGGGGCACGGAGAGGGTAGAAAGGATTTCAAGGAGGGTCGTGTCCCCTGGGCCATTAGGAACCGAACAGTGCAAATAGGGGGAAGTGCCTGAGAAAAGCAGGGCTTGGGGGAATGGCAAGGACGACGGGGTGGCCCAGTAAAGCGCTCACAGGCATGGGGATGAGCCGGGAAGGATAAGTTGGGGCGTATTTTCCAAAGCCTTGAATGCCCTGCTAAGACTAGGGTTTTCATTTCTTCAGTTTTCTGCCTTTGTGCTTTTTAAGATGCGTCTCTGTTTAAACCCAGTGCGGTGATGTGTGGGCTCTCCTCTGTTTGATAGTGTACCAGGAGTTTGACCACCTGCTGGAGGAGCAGTCGCCCATCGAGTCCTATATCGAGTGGCTGGACACCATGGTGGACCGCTGTGTTGTGAAGGTTGGTAGGTGGGAGTGGGAGGCGCAGCCCTGGGCCCTGCAGCCCATCACTCGCCTTCGTGACATGTGGGTAGTTCAGAGCCCTGCAGCGAGCCACCTGGAGGTTCCTCAGCAGCCATTGGCCCCGGTCTCCCTCCCCCACTTCAGCCAGGCCAGCACCCGTTATGTATATTGGGCCTCGATGAGAGATCTCATTTTTTCACATGTATTTTTGCTGATAAAAACAGAAAGTTGAAAACCATTGCTCCATACTTTGAAATTGGAGACCTACATAAGCCTTCCCGTCAGTTTCTAAAGCCAGTGCTAAATGAAGGGTCAAGTCCAGCATGTTAACGTCATTCACTCTCTCGTAGGTGGCCGCCAAGAGACAAGGGTCCCTGAGGAAAGTGGCCCAGCAGTTCCTCCTGATGTGGTCCTGCTTTGGCACCAGGGTGATCCGGGACATGACCTTGCACAGTGCCCCCAGCTTTGGTAAGGCCTCAGCAGTCCCCGCTGCCAAACACTGGTTTTTGCGCCATCTCTGTCCAGGTCACCTCTTGGAGTCAGCCACGGTGTTACTGGTTGTCTCTGAGGCCACAAGGACATTGCCCTGAAATGTACCTGTTCTGGGGGACACCGTTTTCTTAGCACTTTCAGGGAGAAAGGTGAATTGTGAGTAGTCAGGGTGAAGAACACAAATCTGAAAGTGGGAGGTTGGCACAGGCAATATCTGAGTTCAGAGAGGAATGGATGGCAGTGGCTGGGCGCCCTGTTTGCCAGATGTGCCAGGATTGCAGGGTTCCACCGTGGGCGCTTCCCAAGCCTGGGCCTGTGAGGACGTCTCTGGCTGGGCGCCCTGTTTGCCAGATGTGCCAGGATTGCTTCCGCAGGGGCGACGTTGCAGGGTTCCACCGCGGGCGCTTCCCAAGCCTGGGCCCGTGAGGACGTCTTGGAGTTTGAGCATTTGCAGGGGCTCGATTGGCACTCCAGCGATGGGTAGACTGTCTGATTCCTAAAAGAGGACTTCCCATTCATTTCCTTTTGTCTTACCAAGCCTTCAGGTTCTCCTCACTTCAGGAGACATTCCTACCCTCAGTCCTCAGCTACTGTTTTCC